GTTTTTTCTTTTTACATATTTTGTTAAAAGGCCAAATAAGGACTTCAAACCAAAAAAAAGTAATAAATAAATTCCTATTTACTGAATATTAAAATGAGTTTCCCTGTATGAACTGAACTCATAATTAAGCGTTTTAATCATATTTCAGGTTATTTTAGATGCATTTGATGAATCTGTCAGCTAGGAAACTACATTCAAAGATTTGAGGACTTATTATAAATGGAGACATGAAGAAAAAACTGAAAAGAGGCAAACAGAAACGCTGCTAATGGCTTGATGCCGCCAGCTGACTTTACTCCAGGTGATGTTTTATCAACCGATGTTATATGATCAGCTGATTCTGACTAGAATCTATTGGTTCAGTTTAAAGATGAAATTTTCATTTATAGCTACGTAATTACACTAAAGTGAAATCGATAATTCGACAGAAAAAACACAACTATATGTTTTTTTTCTCTTTTAATGACTCACCTTCCCATGAGAGTGCTTTATTTGCATACCTATTGAGCCTTTGCATCTGGTTCTAAGATCATTAGACGTGGTAACGGTGTGATATGTGAATGGCTTGAGGGCAGGTCGGCCTGCTCGTCTGAGTCTGATGCAAATAGAAACCTGGCTGTGGTTTATCCCCTCGTACAGCGTGACTGGCGAGGACTGACCTGCCCTGGAAAGACTGCTACGGTAGCTCTAATATGCTTCTGACTCGGCATGACAACAACTGAGATATTTTTTTGACAACTGAACTATGATGCAAATATGAGCCTTTGGTTATGGAGATCCAAACAGATCAAAGTTCAGGCGAGGAAAACCGGGTCCTTACCCCACCTTCAACACTTAAAGACCGAAAAGGAGTCAACTGTCATTTCTTTAAAGCTTCTCCTCATGCATAAGTAAACCTGGATGTGTCCTCCTCCACACTGCACCCCCTATAGAGGCCTTCTGGAGGTCTAACAGCATTTCTTCATGAATACTTTCTCGCTTTTAACTTTGATTATACGCTTTTTAAAACCCCCTGCAGCTGCATCAGTCAGACAAGAGCCTCCATACCTGATGAAACAATGGTGTGGTGGGGAGGGGTGCTGGATAATAGCTAAACCAAGCAGGGGGGGTGCAAAAAGGAGGCTTGTATTGTCCAACTACTTTTCACCACAACAGGAGGAAGAAGAAAGGTTCTCCCTCGGCAGTTTTCTGCAGATAAAATCAAATTAGCTTTGGCACGCTTAAAAGAACAAAATAAGAAAGTGGAGTCAGTCCTCCTTCCATACCAAGCTTTGATTTCCACCAGCAGCTCAGTGCTTTGCCGCTGAGGCTGTCAAGGCAGAGGACCTCCCCTCCCTGATCTTCAGCCTCGTCGCTCCTAATGATGCCCTGGAGGCAGGAGGGTCTGGAGGGCAGGTGGGGGGGTTGAAGGTCCTCGGATGAGGCTAAATCTGCTCCATCTTGGGGCTCGTCTGACGAAAACCAAAACGGTTTAAACAGTTGTGCACCCTAGTTTTTTTCCATATGGGGTTGAGGATGGCATCAAAAGAACTTGGAGCATAGTTTTTATTTTTATCTGTTTCGAGTCAGTTGGTAATACCTAAATTATTTCCATTTGCTAAATGGCTGTAATACAATCAGTTAAATTAATCTGACAATTGTTTAGTTTAATTTGGTAGAAGTGCTTTCTAATGACATCATCCAAAGATTTTGGGTTTCTTTTCATAGTTTGATGGAACTCTGACTCATTTCTCCCATAAACTATTATAATAGAATCATGTTTATAGGCTGCCTTGATCACCCACATCTATCAAACTCTGCCCGATATTTTCTTACAAGGATTATTATTAATTTAAGATATTTTTTCCTGAACATTGTGAATTAAACTGACTTATGGAAGCTTATATTTTATGTTCATTTATTTGAAGAGTATAATTAAATAATCTGTTATTTTTAGTTCCAGCAAACAGGAATATTTTTTTTTTTTTTTTTTTTTTTTTTTTTTTTTTGTAGCGTAACTGGCCTGAAACAGGTTTTGTTTAATTTCAAATAAATGAATCTGTGTTTCTGTAAAGCTTTTGAAAAAAATCGAATTAAAACTTTTCTTTTTATAATCAAAACCTCAGCCAATAGATGATGCAATGCTGACCTCTAGTGTACACAAAAAGAAACAGCAAGCAAAGAATCGAAGACATTTACAGCTTTAATGTAAAGTGATGGCAAAGTTAATTATTTCACTAAATAAAACTTACTTTTAATTTATTAACTTTAAGTTTGTGCTATTTTATCAGGGAAGGTCTGTTGGATGATCTGCTTTGTCTGTCTTGGACTGGAAACAGTCTTCCAGCTGGAAACCTCTGAATCCTCACAGCTTGGAGAAGAGACGTAAAGCTAAAGCAGCCCCTCTGAGGTACATTTCCTGAGCCAATCTCTTTGTGGAGTCAGTGGGAGTGGAAACCTTTCTTCTTCGTGGTTTAATTGTTGCTCTTTTCAGCTTATGAAGGTATCATGGCATCATGTGAAAGCTGCTTTGTACACAGTAACTCTACAGGTTGTGTTCTGCCCTCCACAAATCTCCGAGTCTGGCATTGTACTCCGTGTTGATGCTGACCTCGTCTACGCATCGTGCCCTCTGGATGGCGGCCAGCCTTAAGAACAAGGCGTCGCGTGTGGGAGGATGATGAGCACTTCTCTTCTTCATCCTTCCACATGCTGCTTTTTCACTCTGAATCACTGGCTGTTTACGGTTCTCACCACACACTCCTGGTGTAAAAGGAAACACTTCAATTATAATCTCATTAAATCACATTTAAAGATGAATGTGATTACTATTCCTTTTACATTTACTTTGGTTAACATGGAATCGACTCTCTTGAAGAAACGATGTGCTCTTTGGTTTCACACTGTTTGAGTAAAGGGTCCTTTGACTCGGTGGAGCCATGTCACCTCTTGCTGGGAAGGTGTGAGACATTTTTCTGCCCTTATCTGCAGATGTCTCAGAGAGCGAACCGCCTTGAGTTACCACATTTTCCTGTGCTCTGTTGGTGTAATCCCAAACCACTTTGGAAAACTGGTAGAGCTGCACACTGGATGCTGTGTTCACTAAAATACTGAAGAACAAAGAATATGTATTTTTCTCCTTATAAACACAAACCCACATAAATAATAGCTCGTCATTTTGAAGCAAAACAAAAAAGGATGTGATGTTTTAGTCCTCAGCCCTGATTAAAATGAAAACTCAACCTAGAGTCTAGTAAAGTGGGGCCTAAGCTTTTCTTGCCCTACCTTGGTTTACAAGAAAATGTTTGTGCCAGTGGGCCCTCGAGGTTTAAGGAAACAATAGCTTTTAGCCGAGGCCAACAAAAATACCACCTTTAAAGGGATCTTTTTCTAAATTTACTTTATTTTAACTTTTAACACAATCAACTAGCCTGGGTGCCATTCCGAACTTAGTCCCGCCCACAAGGTTTGAGTTCGGGAAGTTCGGTCTAG